GGGAGACTGATAAACAAGTTCATCATGATAATGTACCCTGGGATAGACTTTCCTATCACTAGATTGGCATCTTTAAGTTAGGCAATTTTAGACTGATTACAAAGGGAATTTCACGTGATAGACCAGAAAGCGCTGAATTTGAAATAGCATTTTAAAATGAAGGGAAGGCATCAGTAATTTGTAGCAGGGCAGGAGGGCTAGCAAGAACATCCTCCATTCATTCTCTGTATAGCCCTGTTACTATAGTACTGTATAAGGTCATATTTGCTTAAGTTTTTAAAAAATTTCTTTTAAGAAAGTAGTCAGTATTGTGATTCCAGAATAGGATAGCTCCTGGATTTTATTAATTTGAAATCTAGTTGATGGGATTTTACCTGGATTTCCATTTTTTTTAAGCTTTTAAGTTTCCTCCATATCTTTTCTTTTTGAAGACTTATTTATTCATGCATACAGAACTGGGGATTAAGCCAGCAGTCCAGGGGCAGTGAGAGGCTTCACCAGAGTGGGGAGCCAGCGGTCCAGGGGCAGTGAGAGGCTTCACCAGAGTGGGGAGCAGAACAGGCAGATCCATAAAGTACACTGCTGAGGGGAGCATCAGGCAGGTCACGAGAGGTCTGCTGCACCATGTGGGTCACCTCTGGATCTGGGGATTGAACTCGCACAGAAGTGGTTGCACTTTAACCTGTTGCGCCACCAGGGAGGGCCCACACTCAAATTTTAATCATAAATTAGACAGATATTATTTATGCTTCTGAGCTGTTATATTTAGAATTACTATGTTTTGATTTGGAAACATCTCTGACTTTTGATTTTTCTCTCTGCAGGGCTCACAGCAACATTAAGCCAGGATGCTTGTGTTCCTACACCTGTACTTGCATAAATATTGACTGTTGATGGAAAGACTTAAGAAGATCAAGATCTCACCGTTTGTCCTGAATTCGTTTGACCATGCGATACTGATAGCATTGAAATGATTTAATAATATGAGTGAGGATTTGCTTTCTCCATTAGAGCAATTACGTAAGCTAAAACTATCAACATTGTAAACCAAATTGCCTTATTTTCTTCCAGACTTCATATATGTCTATCAGGTGATATAGGCTTGAAAATTGATATCCTGTGGTGCTAAAGTACAGTAGAAAGAAAGGAGAAGTGTATACTTGTTTTATTTTAAATTGTACAAAAGGGGAACTTAAAAATATGTAACTGCTGTTTATACATTGGCTCCTTACTGCTTATTAATCTGTATTGTACACATAATGGAATGAAACGGAAGCTGGGAGTTGGCCTTTCCTTTAGCAACCACCACATGGTTCAGCATCTGTGCCAAACACGGGCGCGCCTCATCTGGCTGGTGCCCACAGGCTACCAGAATATGTGGCAGGTGGACGCTAACTGCCAGCGTGAAAGCCACCTGCTGTGGTGCCCATGAGCATGCTGAGTTTAAGCACCAGGTGGCAGCACCCACCCACCGTTTCTGGTGGAGACCTACCTAGCCCAGGCCAAGGTAAAGTTAGTTCATAGCATTGGGATATAGTCACTGTAATGGTGCTATTAACAGTTGACACCATTGTATTTTTTAACTTTGTGCTCTGTATCTCCTCAGCCACGTATCTTAAATATCTTATTTTGTCATCATATCTTTATGGTGGGGGCAGACTTTGCACTTACTGCAGTGCAACACTTGCACTTTACTTTTCCTCCAACTGTCTAAAATTAGAGCAAATACATTGGCAATACAGCTGCTTTTGCTCTGAGCTACAATCATGGCTTTTCATGTTACTTAACAAGTGGTGTTTCTGGTTAGGAATCACAGCTGTAAAATTGATTTCAGTTCATTACACTTTATGATGTTGCCCCTAAATTTTGCACACTATATTCTTGTATATTATTTCAAATAAAATGGAAAAAAAAAGATATTGCTTACTTCTGCTGTGTGATTGATCTTGACCAGACTTTGAGTTGTTACAGTAATAGATTAAGAGCTTGAAAAACATTAAGAAGTTGCAGAAGGGATTTAAACAGTGAAAAAATGTCCATAGGGCAAGGGTAATAGAAAAACAATGACCTGAATTATCTACAATTACAGAGAATCTTTGTAGAATAAAAATTATTTCTAGTTTTAACTTGGCATTGGTTACAAAGTTATATAGCCCCCAAAGTCTGCTAAATAAAGTGACACACAGAGTGCAAAAGTCTTCCTCTGTCTTTATTAGTGACATATTTTAAACATTTAACCCTAATTCTTAGCTTTGGGATATGTTAGTGGTTCCCAAACTTTGCTGCAATTAGACTATGTCTGGGGCTTTTAAAATAATAACTAACCACTACTAGCCTACTCCCACTCTTGCTGTGTTGGTACGGGCTGCACCTGGGGCATCAGGTGCATTATAACCTGTAGTCAGATTTGGAAATGACTGAGCCAGATACTTGCTAGCTAGTAAGGGAGAAGGTTGGCATGGGGAAGCAAGATACATGCCTTACGATCACATGACCATATACCTTAAAAATCAGTGGGGCTTAATATGGATGTGTACTTGTAGAAAGACTGTTAGATGATGGGGAATAAATTTTAGCCTCAGGAAAGTCAGACGAATCAGATGTCTTTTTGGGAAAAGCAAGTCCATGGAGTTTGAAGATAGTGATGAATCTAAAACATTTTTTGCTACTTAAGGCAGAACTCAAGAGGTAAACAGAAAAAGATCAATAGGAAATACAGAAAAACAAGTATATTCTTAAAACAGAGGATGCAACATCAAGAGGTTAACACAAAATAATGATTAACAGATACTTCACATTGTTACTGAAGAGCAGTCAGAGCTTTTTGAAGCAGTTGAACCATTATGGGATAAACTGGCGCGAATTCTTTGCCTTCTCTACTTCTTACTGATTGAACATAAGCTTCCAAGGCTCCCCTGAAAACCAGAATGAAAATGGTGACAAGAATTAAATGAAACAGGGTGTCAATACATAAATGAAACAAGCCCACTTCTTGAAATGACAGGCCCAGTTGCACAAGTTGAAACCAACAGCCTTCAAACATCTGTTGGGAGTGTTACTATGATCAACACATAAAGCTATAAACATTTTTTAGTCTGCATTGTTACTAGTTTTCTAATTAATAATCAAAGCTTGCAATTGTTCTGTTTTCCTTCCTGATTCGCTATTAAAGACAAGCTTGTAGAAAAATGCTCATTATCACTTAGAGAAATGCAAATCAAAATCACAATGAGATACTACCTCACACCAGTAACAATGGCCTACATAAAATTGACAACAAATGCTGGTGAGAATGTGGAGAAAATAGGGACTGCAAACTATTATGGGAAACTGTGGAGGACCCTCAAATTCCATTCCTAGTTAATGTACCCAAAGAATACAAAAAGCATTTGAAAAGATAACTTGCACTCCTGTGTGTATTGTTGCATAATATACAATAGCTAAGATATGGAAACAACTTTAATATATAGGTGGATCAAGAAGATGGGGAGATGTGCGCGTAGTGGAATACTACTTTGCAATCAAAAAAGAAACTCATGTCATTCACAGAAACATAGATGGAGTTGAAACAAACTGTTCAGTGAAATAAATCAAAAGGAAAAAAAATCAGATGGTTTCACTTATAGGAACAATATAGAGAAACTGAACAAAGGGTCAAAAAACAAAGACAACTGGTAGGCAGCTACTAGATATGAGGCTTAAAGCAGGGGCAGGGATAAAGGGTCAAAATGTGGGGAAAGCACAAGAGACCATGGTGATTGCTCACAGGTGATGTGGTGGGAGATTTACAGGAGCTATACCAAAGGGGAGAAATTAAGTACTGTACAAAAAATGAACAACAATGTAAGAAAAAGACACCTCTAAGCAGCATGCAGCCTGCGCCTCCACCCAGAGCTCACAAGGGGGCGCCCTGCACACAGGAAACACTGGGACCACAAGCCTGGGGCTGTGGCGCATGTTGTAACACTGGCAAGTGCTGACGTTCCTGTTATTCTGACGGACCGAAACCCACTAGAATATCTTGATGCTGAGGCCTGGCTTTTGGCAAATTATGTGATAATGAAGCAGTGTGAGTTTAGGCAAGGGTACTTAACGATGCTGTCAAGAATTACATCAGGGGGCAGCAAACTAAAAAACAAGCCAAATGCAGCCCTCTTCTTAATCATTGTTCTGTGTGGTCTGTGGCTGCTTTCACACTACAGTGAGTTCAACAGCTGAGGCAGAAGCCATATGGCCCACAAAGTAATTTACTAACTGGCCCTTTATGGAAAAAAGGTGGCCAGTCCTCAGCCAAATGATCTGTTCAATTGTTCGATCATGTTTAAGTGGCATTAAAAAGAAAGGTTAATTTTTCATTAGTGGCTTAAATCTGCAAGCATATCAGATTTTTGTCGTCATTACATTTTTGGAAAGTTTTCACGCTGAGATATAGAACACTTCTATAATACAACCATTATTTGGTTAAATGTCAGGTTTCAAAATTCCACCTAATATGTAATTCCTACCTGTCTTTATTCTTTCAAATAATGACAATATTAACCAGGTATATTGGCTTTTATGAATGGTGGGCAATTCACTTGCTCAGAGGTTGAGCTCATCACCAGAGCGATTCCTCTCTCCGCAGTCCACTTTCACATGTCTGCCACTTCACCCAACTGAATCTCCAGCCCACTTCAAGCCCTCATCTGTGTTTCCACTTACATTCCGGATATCTTTAACTGATTTCTCCCAGGTTCCTCTAGCTCACCCGTCAGAAATTTAGGGCAATTCAAACCACAGAATGTAGAACACCCAGAGTGAAGCCTGACACAAACTATGGATTTTGAGTAATTACAACATTAATGTGGGTTCACTGTTGTAACAAATGGACAAATCTGGTGGGAATGACAGGCAGGGTACGTGTGTGTGCGAAATCTCTGTACTTTAAATTTGCTGTGAACGTGAGCCCATTCTAAAAAATAGTTATCAAAAAAGAGAAGAAACCTATGGGGACAAAAACACGCTTAGGACAGTGCTCCTCCCACCTGTCCCTGTTCCCAACAGTCTCAAGTTCTTAAATCTTACACCTAGCGCAGTATCAGATTCTATGATTTCATCTTACAGTTCTGCATGTGGGCTCACCCCCTCTGCCTCGTGAACCCTGCTGTTCTGTGCTAACTACTGCGAGGGTCTCGTTGGCCCCAGCCTCAGGGCTAGCAGGCCTGTGTCCTCATCACTCACCTCACCCTATTCCCATGGCACCACATCCAAAAGTCGCCACACACTGGCTTCATCACCAACCTCCCCAAACCTGCCTGTGCTCAAGCTGGAGTCCAGGCCTGCAAATCATTGGTTTCTATAGCAAGTAACATGCAGAATGGGCTCACCCCCTTTGTGTCTTCTAGCCCTGCACCGTCTGCCACCCTGTGGAGCAATCAGACATGTCTGTGTGAACAGCACTATGAAATAATCTGCTTGACAAGGTAGGGCTGTTTCTCTTTGACCACAGTCTCACGGAGTCACACTCCAACAGGCCTCTGCTCAGATTCTCCCTAGCCCTCGGCATGCCCTTACTTTCCTTCTCGCTGACATCTGTACTTGGGACCCAACCTCTTCCTGATAAAGCCCTTCCTAACTCCATACAGCACAAAAGAAGTAAAACCACCTGTGGAGCCATGAAGAGCCACACACAGCCACATTTAGCAGGATTCCACATTTTGGGATCCCAAAGGCTGGCTCCATGCTCTACTCCATGGTTGTTTTCAAAAAGCTGTGAGGAGTGATGGGGAGGCTCTTGTTTAAGAAAGACAGCTGACAGATCTATTACCCAGCCCACCCCGCTACCTAGCTGTGTGACCTGGGCTGTATTTCAGCCTATTTGCTCATCTGCAAAATGGGAAAATACCCACAAGGTATAGTCATGAGCATGAAAAGAGAGTACTTTGAAGTGTTGGCTCTCTTCCAGGTACACAGACATCTCTTAAATACTGTTCCCACCACTATGCAGCTGCAGATTCTCCACAAAACTGAGCAAGCTGTTTACATTTCTCCCACAGTTCATACGTATGTTTCCCTCTGGGATGTGACTTAACTTTCTGGATTGGGGTGTTCTGTTTATTATGCAGTCCCAGGAACTGGTGCTTAGCAAATGCATGAAGAATGAGTAAAAAGAATAAGAAACATTGTGCCTCCCTGGTGGCACAATGGGCTAAAGTGCAGCACTATGAAGCTTCCCACAGCCACTGCAGCACAAGTTAAATCCTTGGCCAGGATGCTGACCCACATGGCGTGGCAGACCTCTCCTGACCCGCCTACTCCCCTCAACAGTGTATTTCAGTACATTTGCCTTTTCTGCTCCCCCACTCTGGTGAATCCTCTCACTCCCCACACCTCTGGCCTGTACCCCAGTTCTTGTATGCATAAATAAATCTTAAAAAAAAAGGAGAGGGGGGCCCTCCCTGGTGGTATGGCGGGTTAAAGCACAGCACTAAGAAGCTAAAGCCACTTTCACATGAGTTCTATTCCTGACAGCCCCAGAGGTGACCATATGATGCGGCAGACCTCTCCTGACCCGCCCGCTGCTCCCCTCAGCAGTGTACTTCATCGATCTGCCTGTTCTGCTCCCCACTCTGTCCCTGGTGAATCCTCTCATCCTCCGCATCTTTGGCCTGTACCCCAGTTCTGTATGAATAAATAAATCTTTAACAAAAAAAAAAAAAAAAGAAGAACTACAAGGAAAATGAAAGACAAAGTACAGAAGAAAATAAGTACAGGAGAAATATGACCTCAGGAATCCTCCAAAGCAGCAAACATATGAAAAAGAATTTAGTGATATGAGAGAGGAGTGTCTTCTGAGATGCCTTAGTTCATGTCAGAGTGGAGCCTTAATAAAGCTACTTCTCTATGAAAAAAATTTGCTTTTTTACACTTTCCAAACTGCTGTGGCACCCTAAGCAACCACCCAACTCCCAAATCGTGGTTGCTGCAGATAGAGCAGAGAAGCTGCCAAGGACCCCCAAAGGGTAATATGGTGTATACCTCGGTCTAAGAACCAGGGTACTGAAATGCACAGCAACTGTAACAGTTCCGCAATGAATTAATTGGACCCATCTTACCTAATAAGGGATAAAAATCAACTTACATTTAAAAGGGAAAGATATTATATAAATTACACAATACATAGAAAGAAATTTAGAAATAAATTGGGCTAGTTGTTTTTTTTTTTTTTATATTTGTCAAAAACACTATCAGAACTACGAGGAGAAAAAACAGATTAACTCTGCCCACCCACACAAAATCAGAGCAAGATTCTCAAGCACTTATTGAATTACTTCATTTGCTGGAGCAAAACAGCTTTCTTGGAAGTCAGACTGAGCATTATGTAAGAGTTAGTCTCAACTCTGGTTTTTAACCAAAATAAACAGATTATTGAAGTTCCCTTTACTGGGGAAAAAAGAAGTACAGGAATTGTACCAGCAACAGGGGTATGGCGACAGAGCTCAAGGAGATGGAAACTGAGCAGATTTCTGTCAGACACCCGACATTCGGTGTGCTTGGTTGGCACTGAGATACACAAGCGACTGAACTATCTACCAGGGCCTCTGCAGAACCTCCCCCAACCCAGCACTCCCCTGGCTCTCTTCCCTCTTGGTCCTGGTTCAGGCATGTGGTGTCCAGAACCAAGCTGCAGTGGATAGACCTAGTGACACAGGACATCAGCAGGAGACCAGTGTCACACTGCATGATCATGACCTTTAGTCTGCAAAGGTCAGAGGTTGACAGAGGCTGAGGAGTGGGGGCCCAGCCTGTAGGCCCTGAAGGGCCAGGGCTCTGAGTATATGCTGGCACTAAAAACTGCCAATTGCAGAAATGTAAATACGATTAGGCAAATAACTACAAGCATTTCTCCCATCACAAGTGTCTCCTACTTACAAAGATCAACATCAAGCAAAGGAGAAAGTCACAATATGACAGTTTCAGCTCTATTTGCAAACGGCAAGAGTGAAATGGGTTTGAGGCCAATTCTACCATTCCTGCGGAGCTTTAGAAATCTTTGTAACAAAACTCACTCTTTTTCACTGAAAATGCAGTCAACACTTGCACCACAGCCTGCCGGAGGCTGCCTCCTCCCTACCTAGGCCACACAGCTGGAGCGCCTGCCTGCAAAGGGGTGGGGGCACAATTGTCCCCCACTCACATTACTTGGCCCATGAGTCAGTGATTACTCTTATGTTAAAATCAGCTTGACTAGTATCCATTCAAGCTCTAGAAAAACATCTGGTGTCAAAAAGGAAGGCTGCAGAGAGTTCATTACTGCCGCTTATTCGGCAGCATTATACCATCCTCCACTTGCCCTACTTTATGACAGCTTAATGTACTGTGCCAGGAGGAACAGAATTAGCATATAACAAGGTTTGCCCCAACAGCTAAAACAAATTTACTGACATTCAAAGAGCAATATTCACCCTGGGTTTATCTACAGGGGAAAGAAATTCATCTAGTGGTGCTTCAGTATGCAGGGACAAAATTAGTTTTGCAATAATAGAAAATAAGGAATATTCTCTAGGAGAAAGTTTCCCTCTATGCCAATAGCCTGGGCTGTAGCAGGAGCAAGGTACTGTAGGAGCCCTCAGAAGGACTCAATTTTCTGCTCAAGGCAAGATATCAGACATATGTGAAGTGATGGGCGGGCCATTTTTCAAAAGCATGACAGTATTTCTGAGCACGATTTTTCGGTTGCTAAATATAGGCTTAGCAATAGCACTGCTGATGAAGTCACTCAGGAGACATTTTTAAAGAGAAGCAAAAGAAAACAGATTTGTGATGCCGCAGCAGGATGACTGTTGTGGATGAACTCATTCCAACTTGCTAAGTAGACGAAAATGAGCCTTGTCCAATTATCTGAATCCTCTTCTGTTAGCAAGTATGTCACAGCAGAGTGAACCCTTGGAAAAAAGAATCCATAGACACCGCAACTCCCAGCAAGCCCAGGCCCAGATTTTCTCGTCTATCACCCAGAGCCTTTTCTGAGTGCTTCACCGGGTCACGTCAACCAGCGTGAGGTTCACATGCGTCCTTCTGTTTTTGGGTTGAGAAGAGTTAAGTGACTTGAGGAAGCAATGCCGGGCCCACGCTAATCCACTCTTGACACACACAGGCAGGTGCCTGGCCAACAGCTCACCTCAGCTCTGGGCACCAAATCTGAGGCCTCAGTGCCACTCCAGGTGGATGGGCTGAGGCCTTCAGGGCTTCCTACTGCTACCTTGGTAGAATCTTTTGCCAGACACTACAGCAGGGAACTCAGCCACTGAAGCTGCCTGGACTGCAAGAAACCCCGGTATAGGTCCCAGACCGAGATTCTAGGGTGGTCAGGGGTGTTTTCCATCAATAACTGTATCATGATTGGGTATTTTTATAAGCTTATTCATATCTGTGCTGTGCTAATTCAACAACTGCAACACATGAAAATGAAAACAGAAAATGGGCACATAGGGCAGAGAGTCTCTTCCTCACTGAGGATGATTTTTTACAACCAGTAGCGCATGACTCAGGGCCGAGTTAGGGCCAGTGAAAGAAGATGGAAGATCTGGAATGAAGGATATGAAAAGCAAAAACTGCCAAGCCCCAGAGCTCCAAGTGTGGGACTCTCCTGCACAGGGGCACCTACACAGCCTGGGCCACCACAAGCAGCGGCCCACGCCGACCACCCCAGCGAGCGCTGATGTCCCCTACCCCGTGTTTGCCCCTCTCCCCGGGCCCTAGGGATACGCGGTTACCTGATGAGGAGCAGCCTGTCCTTTTCTGATGGGTGGTCGTCCAGCCACTGCGAGAAGCGAGCGTGAGACCATTCTGCCCTCTGCAGGGAGGAAGCAATTAGAGGGGGCACAGGCACTCTTCACCCCCTGGCAGCTGTGCCTGGAGTCCCTAGGTAAATTTCCCCCAAATACCACCATGGGAAGGTGGCTCAGTCCGACTTGTACTTTCCTGACACCCCAGTGACCTTTGGCATCTGCTGATTGAGGGAGGTCCGCAAAGGAAACGTGTCCATCAAAACAGCTTTGTCAGCATAACTCCACATCATTACTATTTAAAGGACTAATCTGGCTTCATCAGGTAATTTTTATGTAACCCCAAGAAAGTAGGTGCAAGGCAGTGGAGTTTCCTTTCTTAGACTCTGGTCATGGCCAAAGACAGAACTCTATTACTAAGTAAGGCAACAGAAGGCTCTTTCAGTGAGTGGGCCTCTGAATTCTTAAAGTTAAGAGGGAAGATTCATAAAAAGATTCTGGCCTCGATTTTTTACCTGGAAGGGGGATTTTAGCTCAGGTGGTGCTCTTGTGAACAAAAACTGGATCACGACGCTGAATGGAATGATGTCCCCCAGTGCTGGGCTTTTGGCCACCTGCTCACTTGTCTGGAAGAGCAGTGGTCTAGAAGAAAAAGCAGAAGTTATTTCATGCTGTTTAATATTGGAAGAGGTGATCTGATAGTAGAATCATACGTATTAATAACACATTAATAGCACAGCAGTTTAATAGTGGGAGAACAAATAATAGCATTCTTCCTAGGCTGCCTAACTCTTGGCCACTTTTTAGCCCCCTGTTCAGCCTAGAGACACACACTAAGTCAGGCTGACCTGCACTGCAGCTCCCTGACCCTCAAGAATGCTGGCTTATGGGTTTGATTTTAACTCAAAAATACTTCTGTTTTTACTCAGCAAAATTCGCAGATGCTAAAATCAAAGCATAGGGCCTGCCTGGTGGCACAATGGGTTAAGTCTCAGCACTATGAAGGTATCTGCAGTCACTGTCACACGAGTTCTTTCCCTGCCCTGGAGATGACCGACATGGCCCAGAAGACCTCTCCTGTCTCATTTGCTGCTCCCCTCAGCAGCGTGTTTCAGTCAATCCGCCTGTTCTGCTCCCTGCTGTCTCTGGTGAATCTTCTCACCACCCCCTACCTCTGGCCTGTACCCCAGTTCTTATATACATAAGTAAGTAAATCTCTTAAAAAATCAGAACATATAGTAAGCCTAACATAATTGTAATGAGCAGCTTCTTACCTTGGTTAAAATTCTTAGCTTTACATTTTAAATAAAAAAATCCTTCTTCGGTAAATTAAAACATGTTTCATACAACTTTTCAAAGGGCAACCAGATCCCCATATATAAAAATTATCAAAGACTCATGTCGCTCCCTTCTAACAGTGCACTACAGTGTCTGGAAGTCGCCACCCACTATTTTCACAGACACAGGCAGAGAAATCTACCACATTACCCATCACCATGACCCTGTGGAAAGTAACTGGAAACTTTTGCTGACCTCTCCTTGGAGTTGGGCTCTAACGAAGGAGAGTTATTATTGGTCAAGCGACAATGGTTGGCTCTCCAGAGTGAGACACAGCAACGGCTCTTGAAAGAGATCCAGTGGTTGTGACAGTGTAAGACAGCTTTGTCCTGGCCTCAGCTCTCACCCTGTCTCAACAGCACCCAGCTGCAGAAGAGCTGCAAAAACGAGGGACCAGCTTTCCCTCACACTAAAGATAGGCTTGTCGTCAAGAGTCAGGAGGATTCTCAACACACAGCTGGTTCTTGTTGATCCAAAACATTACTAAGAAGAATGCCTTTATATTAATTAAGCTGTAAGTAAATGATGTCTCACAGGGATTTTTCTAATTTCAACAAATAACATTTTTGTATAATCTATAGTCTTTAAATTTTGCGGAAACATTTCATTCAGTTTGTTGTGTTGTCTATAACTAGAAAATCGTAAAGCTCCAAACCAAGTCTTTCAAGGGAATATGAATAAGGTTTCTCAAGGCCACACTAAGAAAGTGCTACATGCTCAAGGCTCAGTCATCTCCCAGGGTTTCATGCTGAGGATCTTTAGAAAATGAATGAAGCACTTAACCGGGTAAGAAAACCTTGCTGAGGGAATTCCAGTTCTGTCTGAGGGTACGGCTGCAAGTCCTGCTCTGTGTGGGTGAAACTGTGCCTGCGTAGGTAAAAGCACCCGCTTCCGCAACAGCAAGACCGATTACCACATCCATACTTCTGCTGTCTAAGGCTTACAGACTACATGCATGAACTCACTCCTTCAAAGGACCTATGAGATGGGTAACAATACATCCCCTCTTTACAGTAGGTAACCTGAGGAGCAAGATCAAGTGAAAGTTAAAGAGCAGAACAAGGACTCAAATCCAGGCAACCTGGCTCTAAATTCCGCAACAAGGCCCTTTCTAAGTATCAGCTGTAGCAATACTCATCCTGTTTCGAAACAGGTAGATGAATCAGTGAGAAGCAAAGACCTCTGGAGAGCATACAGTTTCAAACTATCAACAACCTTAAGGAAAAACTAAGAAAATTAATGCTTATAGATCATGATTTGAAAACCACGCAATTCTTTTTATGTAATCCAGACTCTCTCCCTGGGCCAAACTGATCCTGCAGTCACTTACATACTTGAGCTATAGTATCACATTCTCTCATGGAATTATTTTCCCCTGGTGTGACCTGCAGTGGTATGAGTGGTTCTGTTTTAAGGGCCTCTGGAAGAGGACTCCAGGCAGTGAGGTCGTGGCCCAGCTCAACTTCCCAGAGTCTTGTCGGCAGGAGGAGTTCAAATACCAGCCCAAGGCTGGGCAGCTGGTCCTCCCTGAGGGCTGCCAGGCAGGCCACATTCTTCCTAATGAGCCAATAGCAATACTGCTCCACCTTAGAGGGTCAAGGCTGGGGGAGGGGAGAGGGCAGCACAGACGGGAAGACCCTTCCACTGAATCACCAGCTCATTTTGCAGCCTGGCAAGTCCAGGCCTTCAAAGCTCTCTGAAGGATGTGGGAAGACAAGAGAACTCATGCCTTCATTTCTCTCCCTTGCGAGGTGTTCCTGAGCCTGTGCAGTTTTCTCCTCTCCCCAGTCAAGCCCGCTCTTTGCTCCTGCCATGCGCTACGGCAGGATTCACCTCTAATCCGAGTCCAAGGTGACCTGGGGAAGTCAGTCCCCTTCCTGCAGAGCAGCTTTTATGGCCTCCACCTAAGGAAGATACCGGGAGCCTGGGTCGGAATATTTGCTTTTTTCATTATTTGCCGTCAACATATTCCTGATGCAAACCACACATGACACAAGGGCAAAAGAGGAGAAGGAGGTGGGAGGGTGCGAGGGAGACGGGCCGTCGTCACAGGTGCGCACAGCCCGTGCCACGCCAGCGGCAGGCACACACCAAGGTGGTGGCTGGGGGGCTGCAAATCACCCCTGTATAAACCTGCTCATTTTCAAAATGGGATCTTTTGGTCAGTTCTCTTCCTTTGGAGCTCTGAGTCACAGCAACTATATTTCTGCCAAGACCAAATCTTCCACTCTAGTCACCACGGCACTGCCAAAGAGCCGTGCAAAGCAAAGCTGGATTTGTCTCCACATTATGCATCACTGACATAATTACCTGTAAACATCAAATGCAGACATTTTGTTTCTCTTGTTTAGGAGTCTGAAAGAACACAGCATGAAACCCTCCCTTCTCTCATTCCAGGTGGAATCTGAAACCCTGGCACGTTAAAAAATAAATCACCATCTGTGGTGATGTCAGGAACAAAAGGAAATCAAGGTGTTATGAAATGCAGAGGAGCCAAATGTCACAATATATCATCCTTAGTGGAAACTACTCTAAACATAGCAGCACTTTTATGGTTAAACTTTACACTCATGAGGTGGTGTTGATTAGTCAGGTATTAGGTGCCATTAAAAAGAACTATTTCAGATAGGGGTCTCGGCTTCGTCACATTTAATGACTCAGCGGCACAGCTGCCAGTCTTTTAAGGCCAGCCAGTAAGTGAAGTAAGATTAAAGTCCTGCTGCTTCTGTGTCTACAGCAGCGAGGCCCATGGTGCCTAGTCCCCCGTCCCCCACCCCCCACCCCCATGCTTCTCTCTGATCACAGCCTGGGAAGGCTGGTGCATGGAGTTTGGAACCAGCACAGAAACGAGAGAGGAAAACATGAAGCCTCCCTATACAGGACACAATTAAGGAAGGGACGAAAGAGGCATCAGAGGCCTGCTGGGAAACTATTTTGGTATGGCTCAGGTATTTCTTGCATGTGGGTCCTGGGAAAGAACAACAGGAGGCTGACAGGTGTCGATGAGTCAGGGAACAAAGGAGAGAGAATGGAGGGCTTCCAAGCTCCTTTCTTAAAGCCTAGTTTGTCAATCCTAGCAGGTCAGGTGGGAAAGTATGCAGTGGGGTTAGGCAGACACTCTAGGGTAAAAGTGGACATTGCGTTCACACTCCTGACTCTTCTCCTGGAAGCCCGCCGCAGCAGCAGTGAAGAGGAGGCTGCTGCCACAGTGCGGGGTATAGATTCTCTTTAAAATGCCCACGTGGTGCCGGATGATACAGACAACATTCAAGTGGCCCAGGACTAGCCAGACTGAAGGCCAAGGGGAGAACTTCTGGACAGGAGTGGGCTGGGGCGGCCCCGGGTCTGAAGGCAGCTCTGCGAGTCTCACCCCATTCCAGATGTGCAGCCTGGCCTTGTACCCTCTCTCAGGATCAACTGCCTCCCTGAGGTCATACCTAAGCTGGGTGCTGCGAGTGCAAAATGCGAGAATGACAGAGCTACCTGTAGCCCTTGCTTAACAGACAGTAAATGATCAAATAGAATGAAAATAAACCAGTCAGCCTCCTATGATTACTGGGTGTCCGAGCACCTCCAAAGTAGTGGCAAACAACAAACCAAGCCAGAAATGTAGCTGCTTTCTGACTACAAAGCTGAAACCTGAAACTTAGGTTTCAAAACCTTGGGGGACATTTAAATCAGGGTGTTGGTTAAGGGCTCCAGATTAACAAGTGGAAAGAAAGGACAGAACACATCCAGAGGTCCTAGTGCTGATAGTGCTCAAAATGGAAGCTGCAAAGACGCTGCCTTCACCGCTACAGCCAGGATACAGAGTTGGAGCCTGCAAGTTGTGGTCCCCAGCACAAACCGAAGGCACAGGAAACCATCCTAACCCCACAACTGAAAACAGCTGACAAACACCCCCGTGAATTAGGGATGGCCTTCCCCCCCCCCCTCCTGCTCACACAGCCATCACAGCAGCCCATCTCTCTCAAAGTTTCCGTTGCTTTTATTAAACCTGTTACGCTCCAGCAAAGTAGAATGTGGCCATAATCCAGGGACAAAGCCAAGGTGGTGGAGTATGCTGAAGGCAGAGTCTGTGTCCCTGAGCTGGTGAAAGGAATGGGCTCCTGTCCTTTGCCTCACTCACTAAGAGCTGCACGAGAACATGAGGCCTCTGGCCAGGTAGAACTCAGATAACCATCCTTATGAACACCACTTAGGGGGCAGTACTGTGTGGCAGAGGGATGGACAAGAATGGGCTCTCAAAGCACTGACATCGTGCCTTGGGTAGAAACACAAATTACCCGAGAGCAAACCCATAAGGTCAGCAGCTTTCTGAGGTGGCATGCTGTCCTGGGCAAGAACAGCCCTGCTGCCTGAGAAACTAATGCTGACAGTAAACTGTAAATGGATGCAAGAAGCTTGCTGGCTTGATTAAATAGTCTACAAATATTACTGTCAAGAAGAAAGTGCCCTAAGGCAGATGTCTGCATGATGGGAGAAGGGTGGCCTTGCTAAAGATTGTGAGAAAGAGAGAGAGAGAGAGACAGGGAGAGAGTACGCGACACATCTGTCACTCTTCCTTGAAAGGAGCCTTGCACCAGGCCTGCTGTTTCTCATTCAGAGTGAGTTCAACCTGCTTATTTTGGTTGTTTGGTTGCCTGTTTTTCTTAACCTTTCCCTTCTGTTGGGGAATGTCTTAGTATATTTTATGTTATTTTTGCTCCTTTGCTATTTTTAAATGGGAAAAACAATGCAAATGGGATTTTAAAATGCATTTATTGTCTCTCCTGGTTACAAATATAAACAACCAAAACAGAGAACTGGAAAAGTATAGAAATCCTCCAAAGGAAAAGTCAATAATGACAATAATACTATCCAAAGAGTATTTTCATGTTCATCCTTCATGGTTTTTCTTCTCCATGCACATACATGGAACTTTTAAAACAGTAAGGCTCCTATAATATATACTGTTTTTTGATTTATTGATGAATTAGGAAACATTTTTCACCTTGAGGTTGTTAACTAACAACATAAATTATTAATGGCTGCATATATTCAATCTGCTGAATATGGCATTTTATTAAGATTAACAAGAATGGGCCCTTCCGCTGTTCTGCTCAGGACTAATTTTGGAGAACAGATCTCCAACAAGTTTTTTCACACTGGCAAATACAGGAACTAGAATTGGATTACTTAAATAATCAGTTCTCTGTATTGATTAACTCTTCTCTAGGAAAGGATTCTGGAGGACCTCCTAAATAAATAAGCTTTCCTAAGTCAGCTTTCTTCATCTGACAATTGAGGCGGAAGGGCCAGGGTTTTCCCAACGAGTTTATAGGCAGAGAGCTGACTTTCCTCTTTTCAGAAGATGGGACCTAAAACAGTCTTTGCAGACTAAGGTATATCTGAATCCCAGCATATACTATGCTTTCATTTTATTGATGGTCCAGTAGTTCTAAATTCTTCAACAAGTGTTTGCCCAAGTCCAATTAAACAACTGAGAAAATGCTCAGATCTATCAACAGATATCTGTAGCTTCACTATAACTGTAGGAGTATCTGGGCATATTTAAGTCTTTGAGTATATTTCACCAAATTCAAGTTGTGGGAATGCCCCATAGGCAAGATATAATTATTGTTATACATGTGCTCAGGTCCTAGGAGCTAAGGAGTGATATACAGGAGGGAGTTCAGGGGGACCAGAACCCCAGGAGGAAAGAACAAATCTTTACAGCTGTAAAAGGGAACACAATGCCCTGTCACTGTTATAGCTAAAGTTGAAGATTAAGGTTCCAGTGAGAAAGGTGGGAAATTGCCTGATGCCAACCATTAGTATGTCATGAAGCCAATTTAGTGGGATAAAATAATCAAATGTAAAAGAAAAGTCAGAGAACATCCAGGAAATGAGAGTCATTACTGCTCCCTGACACACATGTAGGTGGTACATGAGTGTGGGTGGAGGACATGTGTGCATGCCAGCATGGGCTTGACTGTGGTGGAAACTCCCTCTGCTGTGAGCTGTGGCCAAAAGTTTGAAACCCATCTAAATTGACCACTGTACCATGAGAAAAGCCAGACATAAAAATGTAAGATTTTTAAATTATACATTGATCAGTCATTAGTTATGCCATAAGCAGGTGTCATTATTCAAACTTAATAAATTCTCCTGTAGAGAATTCTCTTATGTGAGAATTCATGGAGCTGAAAAATTCCCATCTTAAATGACTTAAAAAAAGAACTGAAAAAAGTAATTATAATAAAGTAAAAATCAAAAGCATCAGGCAACCATAGATCAGAGACATGCGATAGGGGAGGAGGAGGGTGAAGGACCAGGACAGGGTGGAAAGAGCACCAGGGACCATGGTGATGGTGCACAGGGGAACAGGTGGTGGGAATTTCATGGAGGTTGATACAATGAATATATTAAATAAATAAAACTAATAAATAAATATTTGACTAAGACAATTAGTGTTTTGCTCAATACAATTTGGGTAAAACTGATCTAGATCAAATTCTCCATTTTACCAACTAAGAATTATAAATGAAGATTAAAAAGATTAAATGATTCAGTAAAAATAAAAGAGGAATTGGGCCTTTGTGAAACCCTCAAAATTTGTATCTCTACATTATGACATATAAGTATGTGGATATAACTCTACTTAGCAAAAAAAAAAGCAAAGAGAATAACAAAGACATTTTAAAATGTTTAATACATACACACAAAATAACTAAATATGGGAGACAAGGCAGTCATTAATAATAGCCTACCCATAATATAGCAAATCCCAGGTAGATCCTTTTCCCATCAACTACACTTGATGGGTAGGTTGTCTGGTGTACAAACTGATTCTGCCAAGGGGAACATGTGATCAGTCCCTGGGATTGTTATGCTCTTTACTCAGGTAAGTGATATTAGGGTTTCGATCACATTATTTCTATGGTACAAACAGCTCAGTGGTAAACTGATAAGCTCCAGACCTCTTAAACCTTCAACTCATATATATTTGGTAAGACTTAATATATTACCTCTTAATATATTAAGACTTCAACAAGATATTTAAGTACTTTCAAAAGCTTTGCAGCCTAGAAGTATGGTACCACCGTTCTTTTTCTTACCTGAAAGAATTGCATTTGCTCATGCTGCCTACTGATTACAGTCTTATACTGTGCCAGTTTTTATAGAATCACATGCCTGGACTATATTATCTTCATAGAGATGCATCTAAAGAACACTATGCTCTTAGTTATGATGGATAGTTTATAGCTTATTTCAAGGCTTCCCTTCTTGTATGCTGTGGTCACAAAATGGTAATAAAAATACATGTTCATCCCATCAGCCTTCAGGGCTGTTCATCTGTTTTAACGTATGCATTTCCTTCATGCATCATGATGTAAGCTTGGAAAGTTCTGGTTTCAATAAACTGTCAAATGAACAACATCTTTTCATCTTTAAAAACTGTTATTAAAGACACGGATCATCATAGACAGTGTTCCTTAAAATTTGAGCTGATAAGAGGCTAGTTAAGCATTCTAAAGAATTTCCTTGTTAAACTGGTCTGTTCTTATCACAAGTATCAATTAATTCATTGTTTTTATTTTTTTTAAAAAAAAGATTTATTTATTTATGCATATAAGAACTGGGGTACAGGCCAGAAGTGTGGGGGTGGGAGGATTCACCAGAGACAAAAGTGTGGAGCAGGACAGGCAGGTCTACTCAAATACACTGCTGAGGGGAGCAGCGGGTGGGTCAGGAGAGGTCTGCTGTGCCATGTGAGTCAGCTCCCTGGTGGGGGATAGAACTTGTGCTGCAGTGGCTTTGGAGAGCTTCATAATGCAGTGTTTTAACCTTTTGCACCATCAGGGATAGCCCTGAATATTAACAATTTCAAAGAGCTCAATGAGACTAGGAGGAAAGGATTACCTGCTAATCGGATATGGCTATATTAACAGCAATCACAGCAGCGTATCTTACCTGAATGACCTGAGCATTCGATAGGACTTTCCTAAATCAGATACTCTTCTGCAGAATGGACCCACGGCCAACTCCATCTGAAATAATAAAAGATATTCTATAACTTTTTATATAGGAGCCCTAAAATGAACTGGAGGCACACCTGGATCACAGAACATTGTAACTTGGAATAAACTTAATTTTTTCCCCACACGGTGAGGGAAGTTTTTAAAGTCAATTAAATTTATTAATGGTAAGAACTTACAAAACTTTCACATTTATTTACTAAAGAAACATCATAAGACTTCAGAAAAACAGAAGAACTTTTCTTTGTTGTGTAAGAAAAGGAAGTTTAGACCTATGTTGAAGAAACTCAGAAAAAGGAAGATTTTTCAGACTGTGCACTTATTCTTTAAGTAGGCATCACAAGTCTCTTTATATTAGATATAAATGATGACAATTTTTTACCAGGTGACCCAAGTGATTAAAAGCACTCACTCTGGGGCTGGCACATCAATGTTAGGATATAGAATCTACCATGACAAACTGAATAGCCCCAAACTTAACCTTTTTAATTCACAGGTTTTTCAACTGTCAAATAGAGGTAAACCTATTTCACAGAATTACGTAAGTAAAATACTATATAAAGCCCCATGTACATGGCAGATAATTATTCATAAAATGCCACCAATTATTAGTATTTTTATAACGATCACCCTTTTACATTTTAATTTAAAATTTCCCCTCTTTATATGTTAATTGCCTGTTTCTTGGCACAAGACTTTAGCAATTATTGGCTCTCACTTTCCTCCTTTGATTAGACACTTTGCCTGCCATTAATTGGAGTTTTAGGCTATCTATTCTTTATCTGCCAAAGTGCAGATGCAAAGTTTCTATATATATGGAAATTAATATAATAAACCGGGCCTCCCTGGTAATGCAGGGGTTAAAAGTCTCAGTGCTATCAAGTTATCACCAGCCACTGAAGCATGAGTTCCATACCCAGCCTGGGAGTTGACCCACAGGGCACAGCAGACCTCTTCTCTCTTCATTGCTGCTCCCCTCAGCAGTGTATTTCAGTAGAGCTGCCTGTTCTATTCCCCACTCTGTCTCTGGTGAGTCTTCTCATTCTTGCAACTCTGGCTTACACCCCAGGTCTTGTATGCATAAATAAGTGAAAATAATCTTTAAAAAAGAGAGAGATAAACTGTTTCTCCATTTTTGTTATAAACAGGACCTCAGCAAAGAATATTTGAGAAAATAACAGAAAAGTTCTCTGCCAATGTAACATCTACCTTCAAAAAAAAAATTACGAAAGGGAAGAGGGGCTTCTAGTCTGCTGGTCATCCTTCTGCGCAAACCTCCATGCTGTGGGAAGACCATAGAAAACAAACCAAGTGCTAGTTTGAGAAATATAGAGTTTAAAAAAAAAAGCTTAATTTATTTATGCATACAGAACTGGGGTACAGGCCAAAGGTATGTGCTGGGGGGGAGGGGCAGGATTCACCAGAGACGAGTAGGGAGCAGAACAGGCAGATTGATGAAGTACACTGCTGAGGGCAGCAGCAGACAGGACAGGAAATGTCCACCGCGCCATGCAGGTCACCTGAGGGGCTGGGGATGGAACTCGTGCTGCAATAGCTGCGGTTAGCTTCCTACTGCTGTGCTTTAACCCAATGCACCAACAGGGAGGGCTCAAGAAATACTCTGAACTTCCCATTAATCACAAGGTACCAAGCTACACATGGGGTGAGAAGATTAATTAAACTGCTTTGACTTCAAGGAGCTCTCCCAAATTTAGTAGTGGAGATATATAATTATTTAAACAGTATAATAATTATTATCCAACAAAATCGTAAGGTGTGCACAGATTCACATGTGCACAAAATATATAATGGTTACTGTGAAGCCCGGTTGTTGGGGAAGTGGAGGGCAGCTCTCCTGAGGTGGTGCTAAGGCTGATGAGATGACAGGTGTATCACTCTTTTTACAGAAGATACAGAGGACACACTGCATGTCCTTGAGAGAAACTTCATGTGGTCAGAAATACCAGAGCACATGTAAATAAGAAGAAAATTCTAAGGAAGAACAGCCGGATTCTTGTCAACAATACAAAACAGAGCAGAGTGAACTGATGTTCTCAACTTAAAAGATAGTCAGTGATGGGCTATTCTCTGGAACCTGTTTAGTTTATTCATGGTGAGAGCTTCTGGTTTCCTTCAGAGTGTGTCATTTATTTTACACTAAACACAAAGGAAAATGTGATCTTCATATATCTCTGACTTGGTCATTCCAGTCATACACCTACCTCTGTGTATGATGTTTTTTACATACTGAAATTATATGAAATATTTTTCATAAAATGTATTGACATCTTTTCTTTTTTATACAAGTGGCTTCATCATTTTTGAAGTTTAAGCCCTTGTCTTAGCACTTGAGCAGGCAAAATGTCACAAATAAGTGGCTAGAAAAAACTTACTATATGAGAGACTGTGACCTTGAATGGCTATGCAATCTACGATGATGCAGATTTCTATGCTAAAGGACAATTTCAAAATGTTAAATGTTTAAAATAAATTTTTCATCCATAAAGAACCTCTAGGGTACTGAAAGCCATTTTCTCCTGCCAGAATTCCATTAAACAATAAAGGCCATGTTTCTAAAGGGCAGGAGTGTTCCCCTTAGAGGAGGTGACTCTGCAATTAGCTGTGGATACAAAAAAGCTAAGCGCAAGTCTCTCCAGCTCCCTACTTGGAGGGGATAAGAGGTTAGCTGCAGGTTCAGTAAATTAATTACATGGCTGCTCCTTGCCCACCACAGACATTTGGTTAACCACAGGGCATCCTTGGATACTCTGAGGGCACTCCTGCTCTGACATTGTTCAGGAGAAAAGGCAGTAAGAATTAGAACAGAAAATGCAATCTTGCTCTCTCTTTTTTTTTTTCTTTTCTAAATTTCTATTTTCAGGCAAACACAGTCATACATGCACATGTAAAGGGCACCAGAAGACCTAGAAGCAGCCCACTGCGTAAACAACTTACTGCCAACTTCAACAGCCAGCCTTTTCCTTCAGGGTGAAGTGAAGCTGAGGGCAGAGAGGAGTGTGTATTTCAGAGGGCAGTGTGGACAAGTCCCCAAAGAGATTCTGAGTCAACAAAATCCCTGTGGTCTTGGACAAGCGTTGTGCTTTAGAACTGCTGTGTGACTAGCGTGCACACAGAGACCATGTGGTCACAGCAGGGAATTAATTACCTGTAGAAAACCCACGACCTGATTCCTAAGGGGCTGGTTGGGCATTTCTCTCACCGTGAACCTTCCATATGGCACCTGCAACTATTTTCTCTCACTAGCGATATGGTGTCAGTGGGGGAAATCAGAATTCCTAGTGAAATCTTTAAATTGTATTATAACCCCTATTTGCAACTGGACTTTATATCAGATAATCAGCATTCCCAAGCTGACTCCAGTCCTCTCTTGAACTCTTTCTCTTTCTGTTATTTATGCCAGAATAGCAGGCACTTTCATCACAAGAACTCTTTCCAAACCACAGAGGATTTGTGCATTTTTGCTTCCAATGGCTCAACAACTTTGTTTAATTTTGAATACAAATTAATAGAACGTCCAATAATAAGGCAGTCAAAAGGTTTTCTAATTCCCAGTGATGCCTACCATGAATAAAAATATCACGGTAATGCTATGTAAGTGTTTTGACTGACCCTAGAAAGATACTTTCAACCAAGTAATGATTCTGAAAGTCGAGGTCAACAGATGTGGCAAGAAGCCAAATCAAATGAAACAAAAATGCCAAATTCACTTTAATTTTTAAAAATTTGTAGGGGGTGGGAGAGTGATGTAGCAATATTTGCCAGAGCTGCTGATCGCAAATATGACAGTCTATGAGAGTGCTTCCATCTGTCTTTCCTGTGCCCACAACCGAAGGAACAGGGGCTCACCCCCACGGTGAGTGGTTCTGAAACTGGGACACATTGCAGGAGTGAACACTGGAATCGGCAGCACACAGACTGCAGCAACCAATGTCACTGTAAGGAGGGAAAATATACATCACTACACTGAGTAAATGCTGTTTGTGTTTCTCTTTGCTGTACTTAAGAAACGGAAAAAAGGATGCTTTGGAGTGTAAGTGAATGACTGGTGAATTTCATTTCTCTTAAGGGAAGGGACCTTGGAAAGGCTTGGTTTATTGAGCGACATGTCTTAACAAAAAGGAACGCCAAGTCCAAATCCTGAATACACAGTTTTAGGATGGCAGCCACTCAACCTGGCCACGAGCTGCTACTCATCTGAGCAGGTGCTGGCAGCAGTAGCAAGGGTTAAAGGATAATGCTTTCCACCTTTCAGGACTTACAAGGGAACATGCAGTCAAGATAAAATTTTTAAAAAAAGCAAAGCCTTTTCCCTGCCGCACTCATTTTGGCCATCTCCTGCTCTGCTGCCACTCTAATTGGACTTGAAGTGCTGCCTCCAGGAAAGTGACTCAAGGACCAGCTGGAGCAGAATGCAAATAAACTGGTGGGGGAGGGAGCCCAGGGAGAGAAGATAGGAAAGAAAATAAAATGAAGGCAGAAAGGGGAAAAGAAGAACAGAGAGACCCACTGGAGTAAGCTCACAACATTTCTAACAAATAAGAGCAAATCTTAGTCCATCACTATCTTCATCTTCATAAGCCACCTGTACCCCCAATATGGAATGAATAAGATACTATATATAATTCCCTTTAAGCAGAAGCTTACCTATAACAACAAAGGAAAATGTACAGGGGCCTGAGAATAAAGCTGATAAAATGAGAACAGGAAAAGGAGCCACATTAATGATAACATTTCATTTCTGTTTTCATGCTGAGGCTACTAAATGCAACGTACCCACAGGAAGGCTCTTTACTGGTTATAGGCATATCAGCTGGGGATGAAAATAACTAAATAACGAGTTCCTAGACCCATAGGTAAGCAAAGATCCTGGCTCTTGAACACCAGTCTATATGCAGATTCTTTTCTGTAGTTCCCGTCAGGTCTGAGTGCATGTCTGAAAATTACCCCCTAATATAAGCAATCCACCATCCTATCTTTGGGAAATAATAAATATCAAAACTTGCTCTCAGACACACAGTAAAAAATTGGGAAAGTAAAACATGTCTACATCCAAAGGCAAGAAGGACCTGAGAAACCATGAAATATTCTTTTGTAAGACTAATAGCTTTGAGAGGTTAAAAAATGAGTCCACCTTTGACCATAAAAATATGAACCATCTATTGCTGAATCTTTTAGTGAAAGTTTACATTTGAGGTATTTTTCTTTTGCCTGTGATCTTCTCAAAAGACTTTAAAAGATCTGTCTAAAGGACAAAGGGGGAAAAATCCCCTTTCTGTAAGAGCTGATAATGGTTCTGTTATTTTACTGTCATACCATTCCATTCATATCAGATGGCTTGGAAAGGCTTCAAACTTCAATATCCCTAAGAAACAATGACCAGGTCCACCGTGTGCCCCAATGATTTAATGCATGGTCTTGGCTTGTTGAGTTTGCCACTAGGGGTCTGCAGGTGTGCTGGAGTTGTTTCTCATTACAAGAAAACAAGACAGCCCCTTTCCACTGTTTGAAAAATAAAATGCATTGCCTTAATTATTTTCCAGCAGGTTAATTAACTACTTTTATCAATACTGACAGTAAAATAGTGAGGAAGTACCGTGTCATGTATAAATGGGAATTGTTACTTATCTGTGGTGTGCGCTACTTTACCTTGGCCTTGGGCTAGCAAAGATGAGTGGTAACTTTGTTAAGCACAAAAACAAACAAACAAACAAAAAAAAACCTTTAAAACTCTTTCCTCTTTTATTAAGTTTAATTGGATTTATTTTCCTTCATGCTTACATTCTTTAGAAAAATATAGCTTAAATATTTAGTCTCTTATTTCATAGGTAACATTGAGATTGGGCCATTCCCCCTTGGTAGCTATGCATCAATTTACCTGTGCAAAGTCTGCAGCTAGTCGCATTTTCCCACTTTCACCAAGCGGTCTTATGAGACTGGCGTTGCGGATAAAAAGTTCAATTGCCCTTTGGGCAATAGCTTCCGTGTTGTCAAAGACAAAATCCAAACATTCAAAGTGTTTAAAGTAGTCATTCATAACTCTGCCAATGAAACCCTGCAGTTCCTTCATATATAGAGAGCAAGGAATATCAGGCTTTCCTGAGCTGGATAATGACCTGCAAAGGAAAAAGCAAAACAAGGCTGCTAAGGCACTGAGAGGTACTACCTGGTGTCCCTCAACTCCTACTGTCCCATTCCCTACTCACCAATCCCCACTCTTTTTCCCTTAGTGGTAAGAAAAGACATCCTGAACTAAAAGTTAAAGAGCCTAAAACAAAAATAGTATTTAAATTATAGTGTAGGCCCTCCCTGGTGGCGCAGTGGGTTAAAGCACAGCACTGAGAGGCTAAAGCCACGTCCGCATGATTCCCACCTGCCCCAGAGGTGACCACATGGCGTGGCAGACCTCTCCTGACCCGCCCGCTGCTCCCCTCAGCAGTGTACTTCATAGATCTGCCTGTTCTGCTCCCCACTCTGTCTCTGGTGAAGCCTCTCACCCGCCGCATCTCTGGCCTGTATGCACAAATAAATAAATCTTTTAAAAAAATTATAGTGTAAAGTTGGTTTTAAGGTGCCAGAAAGACTACTGAAGGAATCTTAGAATTCAGCTGCCTAAAAATTATTGAGAGTGAAAGAGACAACATCTGTCTGGGTGACTCATGCAAGTGTTGCATGCATGATGACCTCTCACGTTCTTCCCACTTTGCAACTCTCCATCCACTTACCTGTTTCTCCTGGTTAGTGAATAGGTCAATAATGAATCCTGAAATAGCCAATTTAGACTTTGCAGTGGCAAAAGTGCTTTCCTAAACAAACTTTTGGCAAAGATATCTCTGCTCTTGTGCTATTTAATCTGATCAGCCCAATAGTAGAACTCTGACTGTGGAATTGGTTATATAACAATACACATGGTATGCAATTGTTTCCTCCCAGATGCTGAGGTTTGGACAGGCTTTAATTTGCATCAACAGATGATGCCAGCTGATGCTCCATGAAACACTATTTATAATTTATAAATGTTTACAATTGCTCTTTAAAGAATATTAAAAGAATGTGAAATATTTATAGGAAGAAGAGCTATACCAAAATTAGAAATCACCTGATACTAATCAGTGAACCAATGAGATCACTGGCTACATGATGCTGAATCTGTTTTAAAAAATAAGTGTTTCCATTTTAAGAATGACAGAGAGAAACTGGCAACGGTCTGGAGAAGAATAACAGATATGACTCAAATGCCTGAGCAAGAGAATGAGGTGAACTTAATTCTTTTCAAATGCAGCAAAGGTTATTATAAGTAGGATGCTTACCAAAGGTCTCCCACTTACAGAAACGGATAGAAACAGAGAAAAGAGGCTTCTGTTCCAGCAAGAAGAAATTTTGTTCAGATGTATGCGAGCATGTCTTGACTGCGGCAAGGCCACTGAAGGAGGGCGTGCTAGCCAGAACAAGCTAGACGTCTGCAGCATCACAGGGCGAAGCCTGCTGCTGAACAGGGGACAGGCATAGCTGCAGGAAGTGATGGCACTTCCTGTAGGTTTGGTTTTGCACATTCAGACCACTGCACCCCTGCATGATACTACTTTGTTTAGGTTTTGTCAGTCCAATGACTATACCCCCAAAATCTCTTTCCTGTCTTCTTAACCTTTCGTCTTACCAAAAGCATATTGTTATCTTAGTACTACTCTGTAGAACTCTTTCAAGATTTTTTTTACATTTTAAAAGCACAGATGTATTAGAAAAGAAGAGAGGCACATGTACAGTCAAACATAAATAAGCATGTGGCAGGAGTCAATACAAGTAAAATAAAATGATCTGGTAGACAAAATTTTGAAATACGTATTATGAGTTCTCAGTGCAGGTTAAAGCTTGAATTAAGTTAAATATAAAATTTGCTTGCCAATTATTAAAACGCAGTTTTCCCAACTAACAATTTTCAACTGAGCAGAAATTTAAGGGTCTTTGTGGAAGCTGATGACAAAAGGATTAAACAAATGCACACCTGAGAACTGAAACTGTCCATCCTGATAAGCATCATCAGTCTTTTTAGTGGGGGGGAGGGTGTGTCAGTCCACATGCTCCTCTCTACAGAAGTGCTCATTCCTCATGTCAAGGGTCTAGAGTACACCTACTTTTACTGCCTTTCCTTCTCCCTTCAATGCTATAATTGGACATAAATCATTTTATGTTACATAAAAGGATTTCAATCAACATACTATTGTCAGTCAGATATTTACATTTTAAGTTTTATCTAATTTGCAAAAAACATATTGGTCCTATTAAATACATTCAAACACCAAGAAAAGTGTGTTAAGGATTACACACTTTTTAAATAACAAAGTTCTATTTAAACATGTAATGTAACCACATTACAAGTAAGATTGACCCAATTTATTCCTCTTATCTAGAATAGATCTACAGAGTTTGAAAGGGGAGGTACTCACAATTATTTTTCCAAGTGTGAGGCCTGGAGGCTGACCCTACTATAAAACTTATTTCTAGTTCTTGAATTGTGTGATTCAACTTCATAAAAGCCACACATTCATGAAAAGACATAACAGATTTGCTAATAACATTCTAGAAAGTGGGAAAAGTATTGTTGTGGGAGCAATACTCTCAATATACCATAAAGCAACAGTGTTTTGCACTCTTGCCTTGTATGGAATCTCACATTGCTGCTGCATATGCAGAGGTAGCCAAAATGGAGTCATCATAGGCCATTGGGAGGAAAAATTAAGGACAATGTTATACAACTTAAAATAATGTTTCATACTCATGACAACCTATCATTAAAGGACCAATCTGGCTCACTTGTATTTAAACAAACTAGTAAATAAATACACATTTGGGAAACCAACTTTCATTGTCTAATGTGTTACCTACAGGAACTAATTATGGCTTATACAATTATTAAAGAACCTTACCAACCTATAGATAAGTCTTCAAAATTTACCTCACTTTGTTTCCTTTTCAGATAAACTACTGACTAGTCTAACCAATATATTTCAGATTATTATTGAACAAAATTAATTGCTTTCCAAATACTGGTAACCAGCCTTTTAATATTCTTATCTCTAGACACTATACCATTTTTGTATAGTACCTACTTTACCCTTCTGTGCTTTATACCATTATTAAAAACAGACTCACTTTTTCACCATTCAAAGTTATTTTGTAAATGAAACAACTGATTAAAAAAACTAAAGGTCAGTGAAATAATCACGCATTTTTTTTTTCAACAAACAGCAATACTAATGGCTGGAAAACTGAACAACATGAAAATAAACACAAACAGCAAATTTCAAAATCAGTAACTATGAACTAGAATATATCGATAGAACACATGTCTATTTCTGAATGCTTGTTAAATAAGTCATTAATCACTCTAAGCACATGCAAATAACTATTCCAAATTCTCCACAGATCAGTTTTTTAGTATACTGAGCCAAAATCATTTCACTCTATTTAAAATGATTCAGTGTATATAAAATATGTATAAAGCACAGTACACATGAAATGGCTATGAAAAAACACCCACATGTTTATGGGTAGGTGTTATATGACCAGATTAAATTACCATAAAACTCTGAGAAAGGAAGGCCATTATTGGCAGTGGTTAGGAAGTGCCTTGCCTAGAAACTAGAACAGAACTCCGACCAGCAGAGTACCCACAGCAGAACATTTTATACAAAGAGTGCCTTGTATAGCTCAGAGACTGAGTACAAGGTGTTTGTGAGAAGTAAGGAAATATACAATATTGCAAAGGGAATATGGTATAAATGATCAAAATAAAGGGTGGAAATTTGGGGAGCCAACTTACATTAAGAGAAACAAGATTCTAGGTAATAGGAGACTTAAGGAGTTGGGTAGAGGTGGGAATGAAAAACAAAAAAGGTTAGGGAAATTCTGATTGAAAGTTATTACCCAGAAAAATCTTCTTGATGCATGGTGATGATGATGGCCTCTATAGCATCTGCCACTGATGTTAGTAAGGGTTGCACAGCATTTCCCATAAGAACATGGATTGTCTGAAAAGGAGAAAAAAAAGGACGGAAAAGACCAACATAAAGAAACTGAGATGTGAAGAATATTTTGACTAAGAGCTTTCAAATTATATCAAATTCAGACTATAAGCAGTTTAACTTAATACAACTGAAGACTGCTCCTCTAACTACTGACAGCAATGATTTCTAAGATTTAAAATATGTAGAACCTGATACTAAAAAAATTCAATTCCGGCCCTCCCTGGTGGCGCAGCAGATTACAGCACAGCACTGAGAAACTAAAGCCACTTCCACATGAGTTCGATCCCCACCTGCCCCAGAGGTGACCACGTGGCGCGGCAGACCTCCCTGACCTGCCCGCTGCTCCCCTCAGCAGTGTACTTTGTAGATCTGCCTGTTCTGCTCCCCACTCTGTCTCTGGTGAAGCCTCTCGCTGCCCCTGAGCCTCTGGCCTGTACCCCAGTTCTGTATGAACAAATAAATAAATCTTTAAAAAAAAATTTCAATTCCTCCTCTCTTAAATTTTCAAAAAATACAATGGTCAAATGAGCTCTTAGAGAAAATAGGAAGAGTATCAATTATAAAAAGAATACATTTTTCAAGTTTTCTGCAAACAGTGACACAAATAAAAAGTAATTCTTCCAAAATCAGAATATCCTACACGTTAGCCAAAGTGACATGTAACTAGTGATTCTCATAGAGCACGACAGTTAGGCATTTCATGAATTAAACTTCTATTTAGAGTTTAGAGAAGTGGTTCTCACTTGGGGGGCAATTCTGCAACACAGAAAAACCATGGCAATGTTTCAAGATATTTTTTAATTGTCATAACTGGCTAAAGAAGTTTGCTATGAGCACCTAATAGGTAGAGGACAGACTGCTATCTCTACACCCAACAATGCAGAGGACAGTTTCCCCATAACAAAGAACTATCTGACTTAAAATGTCAATAATGCTAAGGTTGAGAAACTGGTATATCACTGGTTATGTAAGATATTAGGACTTAGTTATGGGCTGTTAGTGTGAAAATACTGACTGGGTTTAGGAAGAAACCTATCACGGGAGGTGAAAGACAAAAAAGAAATAGACATAATCAACGAAAACTATAACACATTACTAAAAAAATGACACAAGGAAACAGAAAGGTATGCCATGATCAAGGATTGGAAGAGTTAATGTTATTAAATGAATAATGCAATACAGCAAGATAGAGATTCAGTGCACAATAAAGCAGTAAACCCAATGAAGCAATACAGAGATTCAATGCAATCCCCATCAAAATTTCAACAGCATTCTTCAAAGAAAGAGCAGACATTACTGAAATTTATATGGAGCCACTAAAGACCCTGCATGGCCAAAAAAGAAAACCCCATAGTGACAAAAAAATGGAGGGGAATGGATATTTCAAGCTATGCTACACAGCTAGTAATAAAAACAGTATGGTATAGAATAAAAATAAGCACACATAACAGTGTAATAGAATTCAGAGCCCAGAAATAAAACTACACTTATATGGACAGTAAATATATAACAGAGGAGCCAACCATATACCTGGAGAAAAGAAAGACTCTCAATGAATGGGACTGGAAAACTGGATAGTTACATGAAGAAAAAATGAAACTAGACCATTGTCTCATACCACACACAAAAACTAACTCAAAATAAATTAACAAATTGCATATAAAGCCAGAAACCACAAAACACATGCAAATAAACAAAGGCAAAACATTCCACAACATTGGTTTCAGGGATGTCTTTGGTGACTCCAACAGCACTCTAAAAGCAATAAACAAATGCAAAAATAAACAAATGGTATTGTCAGGCTACAAAGTTTCTGTACAGTTTTTAAAAAAAACTATCATTTAAAAAAATCAGATATCCTACTGAACGGGAGAAAATATTTTCACACCATACATCTGATAAGAAGCTAACATCCAAGTACTACAGAAAACACATACAAATCAAGAAGAAAACAAAAATACCTAATCAAAAATTGGGCAAAAGAGTTAGACACTTTTCTAAAGGCATAAAATAGCAACATGAGAGCATGAATGATGGAATCACAGTATGCTTTCTTATAAAATAATTAAATTAGAAATCAACAAGAAGATAAGTTGTAAATTTAGTTATTTATTAGTAAATTGAGTTGGGAAAGTATTAACTTGATGCCATACCATAGCCAAGCAAAGACAATACAAGAAAACCACACAATAATTTCCTTTATGATTTCAGATGTGAACATTTTAAACAAAATCTAGGCAGATTAAATCCAGGAATATTAAAAGGATAATACATCATGACCAAGATCAGTTTGATATTTGAAAATAAATTACTGTAAAGAACTTTTCTTAATAAGGTAAAATAAAGAGGTAATGTGATATGATCATTAAAAAGTACCATTCTTGGGCCCTCCCTGGTGGCACAGCGGGTTAAAGCACAACACTGAGACGCTAAACCACTTCCGCAAGAGTTCAATCCCCGCCTGCCTGCCCTGGAGGAGATCCACATGGCGAGGCAGACCTCTCCTGACCCGCCTGCTGCTCCCCTCAGCAGTGTACTTCGTCGATCTGCCTGTTCTGCTCCCCACTCTGTCTCTGGTGAATCCTCTCACTCTCCACATCTCTGGCCTGTACCCCAGTTCCATTGAATAAATAAATAAATCTTTAAACAAAAAAAAGTACCATTCTTAGTTTAAAAAGTCTGAGTACACTAATTTGTTTAGTCTGCTACAAGCAATCTAAGAAAAACCTAGTGCTAGCATTATACCTAAATAGTAAATTACTGAATGTTTTCCTGCAAGTTACCAACAATTCAACAAGGTCTCACCAGACCAATAGAGATGCTAATCAGTGAAAAAAGTCTTAGAAAAACAAGCATGAAAGATCAGAAAGGAAGAAAATAAAACTCTCTCTATTTACATATAACATGGTGGTTTACAGAAAAAAAAACCTTGTCACTAGGCAAAGTTTCCTACTTAGAGAAAATATGAAATAGGAAAAGAGGGCATCTTGGCAAATGCCTTCATTTAGAGGTAAGTAGAGAATTAACAACCAGAAGAAACTGAGAAAGGAGATTAGATAATATTTCATAAGCTCTTTGACAAAAGAAATCTGTCATACATTTAAAAAAATATTATCTAAAGTAGCTAAGATTACAAAATTATTAAAAACTCAGCAATTGGAATATTCCCTTATATAAAGCATCAAACAAACCCACACATTCAGAAAGAAGTGAAGATGTCACATACAAATTTAGAAATACAATCATTACCTTCTCAAGACATCTCAGAAATAAATGAATCAGAACTACTGGGGCCAAAGTGATTAAATGTTACTTAGTCAACTAGGTTATAATAAAATGGCCCTAAATGTATATCTATTAATGTTAATTACGGCTTTTTTTTTGTGATATATTACATAATGCTGATGAACCTCCAACCTAAAGAAACATTAATTTTGGGTGAAATCTCAATAGTAAATAAGAAACTGTTATATGGTGTTGTTATAGTATATTAAAATGTACGTTTAATATTTTTTCTACCAATAATAAAATACCTACATATCTCTGGCTCCTGGGCTGCAGTTACTTATGAATCTTAACATTCTATCCTTAACTCAAAATGATGTTAAGTTTCCTACATCATTATAAAGTTTCTGTTTTTCTCTTTAAGTCAAAGAGGTGCTTGTATTTTACATATATCATACTTTCTTATGTGTTTTAACTAAAAAGCAAGGTTAAAACAGCCTCATTGAATTCTGTGTTAGCAAAGCAATTAAGACTCTCACTGGCACAGTCACTGCAGGAAGACTTGAGATTTCTTTAATCCATTTCTCAAGAGCACAGGGGCAGTGCTCCAGCAAACTGTAGTGCCCAGGGGCATGCAACACTGATTCTGGTGAGCCAGCCTCAGGCAGTGCTGCAGCCGAAGAGCACAGACATTTCCCCTGCTTCGGCTTCAACGAGTCCATAGTCACAAATTTAGGAATAACCATTGCTGAATGATAAAAACACAAATTCAGAGAGTCCACCGTATTACTCTTATTATTATTATAGTCTTTAAGGAACTTCTATTTTTATCTTGTCTGATGATTTTTAACATCAGGCAAAGTATAGGTATTCTCCCTTCGCTACACAGTAGACTTCCTCAAACTATGAACTGAAATCACTACAGATCAAAAAAATCAAATTAGTGGATCACCATCAGAATTTTTTTTTTTAAAGATTTATTTATTTATTCATACAGAACTGGGGTACAGGCCAGAGGCTCAGGGGCGGTGAGAGACTTCACCAGAGACAGAGTGGGGAGCAGAACAGGCAGATTGACGAAGTACACTGCTGAGGGAAGCAGTGGGCGGGCCAGGAGAGGTCTGGCTGGCCATGTGGTCTCCTCCGGGGCAGGCGGCAGGCGGGAATCGAACTCATGCGGAAGTGGCTTCAGATTCTCAGTGCTGCGCTTTAACCCGCTGCGCCACCAGGGAGGGCCACCATCAGAATTTTTTTAAAAAGTGACAGACGAGCACAGAAAATGAGGGAAAGCACTGTTTGTGAAATCATTGTTACAATTATAGAAATATGTACAGATGTATATTCTATATGTGCAATTACATGTGCATGTGTATAAATGCTCATGTATAATACAGAGAATCACAAAGTAAAATGTTTTTATCTTGGAAAGAGATCAAAAAATGTTTAATAGCCATTGCTAGAACATAAATGAAAAAGTTGAGAGCTACCAAAAAGAAAAGTTAAGATTGGCCCAACATGGTATTTTTATGACCATCAACAAACTGAACAGTTGTTACTAAAAACAATTACTTTATTATGACAACTTTAAATAACAATCATAATGACATAGGTAACTATATTGGGGAAAATAAAAGGATACCGAGAACACCCCAAATATACTTTTGCTATGTTGGGGGAATCAGACTTTCTCTTTTTACTCTCACAGATGAATATAGTCCCCTTGAGTTTGGGGGCTTGGGAAATTTCCATCCATGTTGCCAATGGACAGTATTTGATCTCAGAAGCCCTTCTCCTCTAGTATTAATCAACTGTACTGTTAAACAATAGCTTCCTCAATCTCTTACTGTCTTTAGTTGTTATCTCTATTCTCTAAATAATAAACATTTCTCCTTGGAGTTTACTGGTAGACCTCAGCCTCCTCCCTTCTCCTAGTCTTCTGCCCACATGATCTACATGTAATCTAATAATTAACAGACAGTACCTTTTTGTATCGCTACCATTAACAGATAGTACCTTTTTGTGTCATACCATGTTATAGATGGATGGAGAAATTAAGACAAGACAGAGCTTACTGTTTAAGGTTATATAGCTAGTTAAATAGCTGAAATAGTTACTTAGTACAATCTGAGTTGGTACGCTATGTGACCCTGAGTAAGTGGGTTTCTAATTTGTATAAAGTGGGGATAAAAATAATTCTCACAGCTGCTGTAATATTTCAATGTATTGCATGTGACTGGAAAATAGCAGGTGCTAAATAAGGTTATCTTACTATTAAAAGAAATAATTTCCTTGGTTTCTTAAGAGTTACCTACTGTCAATATGGCTCTGAATATTAAATATACAACACTACTTTTTATTTAATTTTCTGTGATTAGAAAGGGGGGTATATCATAGTGAGTATTAAAAATGGGAATATACCTTGGTTTCACATCTTACAGATGTATGGTAAAGCAACTTCTGAACCTCAGCATTACTGACATTTTGAGCCTGATAATTCCTTGCTGGTGAGGGCTGTTCTAAACAGTGCAGCATGTTTAACAGAATCCTTGATTCTAGATGCCAGCAGCACCCTAGTATCAGTCATGCCAATCCAAACTGTCTCCTGATATCATTAATGTCCCATGGGGCAGAAAATCACCTTGAATGGAGAGCCCCTGCAGTACTGGGATAATATTCCGCTGTATCATCCCCAAAACAGTGAAAACCAAAAGATTCTTGTTTCTGTCTATACAATTATCATAAGTAGAACAATTTGTAAATACCATTAGGGTCTATTTTAAATTCTAGAAAATACACACACACAAGATCTTCTTTTTTTAGGAAAATTGTCAACATGCTACTTCTGCTATATGTAACAGAGTTTAAACTATTTTTAAAATGTGACATTTCCCAGTCAGCCAAATAAATAATTCTAAAATCCACTTTGATCTCTAGTCAAATATTAAGTTAAAGTTTGTTACCTTTAGGGCTGAAATGATAGTTTGCTCAGCTGCTGGTGGAAATGAACTCTGATTGGAAACCACCTAAAACAAGATTTTGACCCAGTTACAAATTTGCTTAAATCCTTTATTTTAATTATAATATGATTTATAAGCCATATATAAAACAGTAAGTATCATTACAGGTTTTAAAAAATCATCAGTATTTATTAGTTAAGATAGGTTGATAGGTTGAAAACATGTTTATTCTTAAAGCAAATATATAAACTTCAGCTAATCAAAACATGAACAATTCATAAATTGAAAGGCCAATCTAAATATATCTTTACTTATTTCAAAATAGTCAACTGTCTCTAGGCTGAGAGTAATTTTCAAACAGTCTTTAAGATACAAATGTCAAGCATTTTCCTTTTTACAAATCAAACATGAAAATTCTGAAATTTTCAATAAAGATGTTTTTAGAGTAAAAATAGAAAATAACCTTTTACTGCTTGTAGTTCAGAGAATAACTAAAAATAGAAAGTATATCATTTATGATTTTTATTTTTCTCTTCTATTTATGTTTCTGAAATTAATCACTAGTAACTCTTTAAGTAATTTTATTTAGTGTGCTTAGTACATATTTTTGAAAACACCTAATTTTTGTAAAAGGACTTGTTAAAAATTTTAAGCTGTCTAAATATTTATCTCCCTATTCACTGAATGTTTTGAAATATTCTGATTTATAGAAGGTTACTCAAAAGTTAGAGAGAATAATGTATACGCCCTCTGAATTATGAACTGATTTGTGAATACAGTTAATTTTTAACATAACATATGAAGATGAGTTTTTATATATAAATAACATATGAAGACATTAAAAAAAGAAGGCGGCACAGGGGGCCTCCCTGGTGACACAGGGGTTAAAGTCACAGCACTATTAAGCTATCACCAGCCACTGCAGCATGAACTTGATCCACAGCCAGGGAGCTGACCCACATGGCACAGAAGACCTCTCCTGTTTTGTCCAAAGCTCCCTCATTAGTGTATTTCAATAGATCTGCCTGTTCTGCTCCCCAATACCTCTGATGAACCCTCTCACTCCCAAACCTCTGATCCACCCCAATTCTTATATGCATACGTAAATAAAAATAATCTTTAAAAAATAAAACACTAATAGAACAACAGCAAAAAGAATATGTACTTTCTGTTTACAAATAAGCATTGCAACTTATAAATTCAGTTTTTAATACAGCCCCCCTCTCTTTTTTTGTACAAAGATGGAACTTTCTGACATGTTGGAAAGCTTAAAAATTCTTATTCTATCATTAGTTTCACTATAATTTTACTACTACCCACATGATATCAAATTATACTTCTCAATAGACATGAAGCACATGTAATTTATATTATACAAACCAACATGAGGATCTAAAGTCCATGCATTTAAAAAAATGTTTTTGTAAAATTGTCAAAAAAAAGGTCAAATCCATAACTTAAAAAAGAGTTAAATTCTCAGCTTATTTTAAAACTATCATCCTTTCATTGTATTTTTTCCCAAAAATTAAATAATTTGTAAGTTGACTAAATCTGAGGCAAGAAGAGCTTGAAATTAAATCAAAAAGCATTAAAATTAAAGTTACCTTTGTTACTGACTGATGCAATTTAAATAACGAATTCACCACTGCCACATTTCTTCTTTGCCCTTCAGTCAGAGGCCCAATCACCTGACTTGCATCACCTTGTGTGGAGAGCTGTAAGAATTCACATAAAAAGAAATACCAAACTGATAGATCAAATTTTAACTAGGAGAAGTTCATGAGCCCCTGACAAAGAGAATGTTAACTGGACCTGTTTGACATGAATTACATTGTATGGGGTACAAAAACACATTTGTGACTGTAAAGCATTAGGAACTAGAGAACTGAAAGGTAGGAGGAATAAGACTTGACATTCAAAACTGAGAAATGTACATACTGGGAAAGGCAAAAGAACAACATTTGAGTTTTAAAAAAGTTATTCTCTTACATACAGGAGATAATCCAATGGCTAAATGAATCTTTAATAATATTAAAAATGGTTCTTACGTGCAAATGACAAGACCTGTTATTCGTTTTTATATTTAACAATCTGAAGAAAATATTTTCATAAATTCAAATTCAGTACATCTACTCACTAGGAACATCGTGTGAATTCAATACTTGAGAAATAACTGAGATTGAAACCCTGAAACAATGTTAATTATACAGTTAATAGGAAGAATAATTTTTATAACTTAATTTGCAGATGAAAGAATTAAGCATCTTCCTGAAATCACAGTTAAGGACTAGAAGCAAAAAAAAAAACAAACAAAAAACTAACAATTCAAAGAGTGAGTTGAGTTGGATGACAGCTTTAAATTTCTATTCAGAAAATCTACTGAAAATTACTTTTGGAAAATGATAAAGTTGATGACTCAAAAGAATATCTAAAAAGAACAAGAAAATACATTTTGTTAAGTAGACCAAAGTTCAGCTGCATTTCAGACAGCATGGTGATAACACTAGTGCTCTATTTGCCCATAATTCCTGTTAATGTCAAGGCTACAGGACAACTGCGTTTTATGTGAATCTGATCATAATTCTAAATAGTATTTTTGCAAGCATACCTAAAACAAATGAGAAGAAAATATGTACTAGGATATCAAAGATTTAGAGTAGACTATGTACTGCATAGTAATCTACAATGTTTTTCTGAATGAAAAATGCGTCAAAATATTTTTATATATAAATCAGATATTTTTAACAAATATCTTTTAAATAAGTTCAGATGAACACCTAACTACAATTATAGTCATAGTTATTTTTCTCAAAGTGGCAAATGTGTTTGCATTAAAATTACAAGAGTAAAATTTTAATGTGAAATTTACATTAAGATAAAAAGCCTTTTAATCTAAATCAAGCTTTCTACTCAATTTTGAAGTTCAAGGCAATAAAAAGGATTACTTCTCATTATTTTAATGGAAAGTACAAAGGGCAATTATGGGTCTCTTAGACTGTCCCTATCCTCTCCAAGCAGCGAAAAGGCATCTTCAATCAACTGCTGCCCTGTTACGGTTTCACAAACCAGCGCTCCAGGCAATGACTACAAATCTCTTCATCCTGACAGGGGGATGCACAGTTCATTGAACCATGTCCTGTCAGTTTTTCTGAACATGTGGTTTGATGATTACAGAAGTATTTTAATACTTTCTGGGTCAAGAATGCTAATGAGCAATATATTCAAGAATATTGAAACTGCCACATCCTTATATACTCCACTACTAGAAATATAATTGAAGGCAATAATAAAATTACATGCATGAGGATGATGCTATTAATAAGACAGAGAGAAAAATGGAAAATACTGCATATCTATGAATAAAAGAACAGTTGGATATATTCAACAATTCACAGGGAATAGTAACAATGAGAGATGCCTGTGCTAGTGTTATATGCAAAAAAAAACCAAAAAGGCAGTTTGCTCTTACAAGACCAGAAAGAAAGTAAAAATACTGAAAACATCGAGAAATAGTATAAACTAACATAATGAGGAAGCTATCAAAAAACATTAGTAAAGGACACACAGAATTCCATAAAGTATCTAAAAGATTCAAATTATTATGCTAGATAATGTAATCCATTATAAACATGAAAGATGTATAATCGCTACAACTGACAAACTGAAGCTAACATGTTAGAAAATAATTCCGTTAGTTACTGTTTACTGGCTCAAAAGAAGGGGGAAAATCTTTCTTGATCTAATAATTTGTAAAGCAGATGAAAAGAACTGATTGGTATTTATAGTTACTTACCAAATGCTTTGTCATTTTTACTTAGTTCTGGTTAAGGAATACAAGAATTATTAAATACTGCTCAGTTTATTATAATGCTAATGATTCTATGAAAATAGAAATATATTTATGTATTCATATAAATATTAAAATATTTTAGTCTATAAAAATTCTATTTTCTCACAATTAAATAAAACATACCTACTGTTAATTATAGTTCATAATACATTAAAAATTATCTATGGAATCCAGACCTATGGTATGTTTCTGCAAATGTACAGAAAAGGACAAATTTGTAGGTCTTGGGCCCTCCCTGGTGGCGCAGCGGGTTAAAGCACAGCACTGAGAATCTGAAGCCACTTCCGCATGAGTTCGATTCCCGCCTGCCGCCTGCCCCGGAGGAGACCACATGGCGAGCCAGACCTCTCCTGACCCGCCCGCTGCTCCCCTCAGCAGTGTACTTCGTCAATCTGCCTGTTCTGCTCCCCACTCTGTCTCTGGTGAAGCCTCTCACCGCCCCTGAGCCTCTGGCCTGTACCCCAGTTCTGTATGAATAAATAAATAAATTTTAAAAAAAAAAAAAAATTTGTAGGTCTTTCCAGCAATTCTTCATTTTCCTGGCAAGTCAGCCTAACTAAACTTCAATGACAAATGAAACTAATTTTCTTATATACTAAGCTATCAAAATATTTTCACAAAACTCTTTTCTACAGTTCTATCTCACACTTTTCTGGTTTCACCAATAATGTACATAGAACATGTTTCTTAAGAAGACAACTTGTACTGAAATTAACCATTCTATATGCTCACCAGTATTACAGTGAACAGTGTTTTTGTGCTATCACATCTTTAAAAGTGACTATAGTAGTAGTTAGTAGGGTATATACCTACAGAGATAGCTGCTTGAGCCACTCAATAATCAGTCTCTGTGCTACCTTTTTCTGTATATTTGGTGATTGTTATGAATCTTTCTTTTATTCCTAAAGCTGGAAGACTTCCCCTTAAATTAAGTGTATGCTTTAATGCATGGCCACTGTGACATCAATTCTAGCAGTTCAGAGTATGTTTCATTTTTTTCATTCTTACACTTCATAATGCTGAATTGATCAACTATTTGACTATTTGATTAAAAGAAAAAAGAAGCATTATTAAAACTTATTCAAAAATAAGGACAGGTACATTAAACAACAGAATACATTCAATGATAATGTTACATCTTGACATTAAACTAATTCTTCACACAAATCTGTTATCAAAGAGATGACAGCTTGAGATGGGTTCCCTTTTGGACAGTTAACATAAAAGTTGGGAACAAAATTAAGTCTTGTTTATACATGAGAAAAGAACAAGACCAGCACATAAGGATAAGTATAGCTTTGTAACTCAAAGCTAGCTACATTGCTCAGAGCCTATATTTTTGTTACAAAGCTCTCTATAAACCTAGCTTTCTCATTACCCTCCTCTAGATCTTTTCTTATTCTCTTATGCTGTAAGTCAAAATTACCCTGATACGAGGTATTTGGTAACTATAGGGGGAAGGGAAACACAATTTGTTAACAACAGATCATCCAGAACTTTTATTTTACTTCAAGGGACCTTGTATTTTGAATAACAGATGAAATTTCCACCTACCTACCCATGACCAATCACTATCTCCTAAACACTGGCCTTATTAATTTAGTAGTCAACAGCATGTTTTTAAATCTTTGAAGAAGAAAGAATTGTTCACCATCACATATACTGGGTATTTCCCATTTTCCAGTAATAATACTCTATTTCATTAATCAACAGAGAAACTCTTCAAAATACGTAAAGTATAGAGAGTAAGACCTCTTTGGTTTAGGGTAATTAGTTTAATAGAGACTGAGTTTTAAACCACAGAATTTCCAGAAGGAACATAACCTTATTGCCCTCATGGATATTGAAAACTAAAATTCCAAGATCCTATTAGTTAATTTGAAAAAATAACTAGAAGTTTATGAGTATGTAGTCTAGTACTTTCATAGTTCTTGAGAGATGTAAATTCTAATGTAATTAAACCTACAATCCTGTATGCATTAATTTCATAGCAAAGAAGTTGCTTATATACAGTTTAAATAGAAATTTCAATTTATATGTTAATCTTAGTAGTATTTATAGCATCAAACCAGAAAAAAAAAAAGGTTAATTATCTGAGTGCAATGATTACCTAAATAATCAGAAATTTACTTTGCAAAATGTGGCACTGTCATTAATGTGTTTCTGCCATAAATGACTGTAGTTTTTTGCAGGATTTCTAAGAGGTAGTTCTAAAGAACTATCTATCGTTCTACTGTGGCCTGACTAACCCTCCTAACCCTCACAATTTCCCATTTTGATATTAGGTTTGCCAAGTTCTCTCTGTAATCCTATTAGTCAAAGGCTGTGCCATACAGTGTTTCATAATTTGTAGATGACCTTTTTGTAGAACTGTTAAATTTCCTATATTGTGATGGAGTACTTAATAAAGCTTTTTGCCATACAGATTATATTGTCTAATGTAAACATACTTACAACAGTTTTCATTTAATTAGTATTTACCTGAAATGTTTTTCTCCATTCTTTTAACTTTCACCCTCTGTACGTTTTCCAAAGTCTCTGTCCTAGTATTACCAAAAGTCCAATTAAGTTATTGATTCTATTAAAACTGAGAAACATCTCTAGCCAATTTGGTTTACTTGTTGTGATTCACTTATTCTGATAAGTACTACAGTCTGATTTATTTTACTAGAACTCTTTATATATGATGTCTTTTATTTTATGCCCTCTTATTTTATATACTTTCCAGACTTTTAGTGAACTTTTTCCTTTTATATACTTCCCATCAATTTACCTAAAATCAGAGATTCTATTTCTGATCTTTTTGTCAAACCTGCTAGATTTCTGTTGGCTTTTAAATCACAAGTGCTTGCTTCCTCAGTCCCA